TCTTCAGATGACATTCCATGAAATAACGTGTCATCGGAGACACAAGAAAGAAAAAGAAGAACTAGAATTGAGGTTATGTCTCATGATAGTCATGATTTGTTCAAGATACATCATAATATATTAATGATTATATCAAAATTATTAGAGTATTCATTGAATACCTTCATCAAATTTCTATTTTACAAAATGATTGCGAGAAGAACTTATTGCACAGAATTAAAAGATAACAATAACAAAAGGATGATAATCTCTGTTGATGACATTTCTCACAGGTAGCAAGGAACACTGGTGAGTAAATACTAAATAGAATCATTGATAGTACCGGACATGAAATATTGATGCATTCATATACATTATTTATTGTTTCAGGAGGTTATTGAGAACACAAACTTGATGATATCATCATAGCAAACATGTTTTATTCCAAGATAGCTTTGCTTCTTCGGAATCTATAAAATATTGTATGGAAGCTTGAACTTTCAGTATGAATTCAATAAAGGTAGGTACCTGAATCAAATCATTGATGTGGTAGGTACTGGACATGAAATGTTAATAGGTTAATTATTTGTTTCAGATGAAGTTATTGAGAACACAAGATTGATGATGTCATCAGAGCAGATATGTTTCATTCCAATAAGATATTTTGGCTTCTTCGAAATCTATGTGAGATTGCATATGCATGTTTGCACTTTCAGTATATTCAATAAAGGTAGGTACCTGAATCAAATCATTGATATAGTAGGGACTGGAACATGAAATATTAATAGGTACATTATTTGTTTCAGGAGGTTATTGATAACACAAAATGATGATATCATCAGAGCAGAGATATTTTATTCCAAGATATTTTGGCTTCTTTGGAAATTATGAAAGATTGTACATATGCAGACTTGAACTTTCAGTAGATTCAATAATGGTTGGTACCTATAACTACATAAATCATATCATTGATAGTAAGTACTGGACATGAAATATTAATACATTGTTTGTTTCAGAAGGTTATGCAAAACACAAACCTGATGATATTTTCATTCCAAGATAGTTTTGCTTCTTCAGAATCTATAAAATATTGCATGAAGGCCTCGATGAAGGCTTCAACTTCCAGTTGATTATTCTGCATCAGGAATGTCCAGAGTTCAGAAATCAAAAACAACATGGAGAAATATAACTATCAATAGGCAATAACTTCTAGTAGTGCTCAACAAGAAGCTGAAATACATTTCTTTGAAAAGAAAATTGAAATTTTCCAGAATAAGTTATAAATAATAGAATGTAAGTTTTTCATTTGGTTTTTCATTTGAACCTATTATAAATAGAGGGAAGTTCTGCAATTATCATGAGATCCATATTATTTTGAAGAAATTATCATTTGCATAATACAAGGTGAGTCAATATGTGTGTTATCCTTATTGATGTATATTAGCCAAACCATCAGATAAATAGAGAACATTCAAGTACAACAGTAATAGGGTTTCATGAGAACTTTCACATTAAATTGTTTTCATATATATCTGTAGTGTGTTCGAATTCTAAGATACATGGACTGATGATTGTTTTTATCCAAATGGGAAACCCTGTATACTATTGCATTTTCAGGTTCTCCCTGAAGAGCTGATTCCATCAATGTATCACACTTGGGGTCTAGCGGGAATGATTACAGAGATATAGGGTGTTCAAAAACAAGATTTTTCAATTTTAGGATTTTTTTGTGGAAACTATTCAATATTGGTCAAAACGGTTCACATATCCTTATAAACTTTCGATTTACTATCTACTGACATTCAATCGGAACGAATAGAGGGTGGGTTAACATTCAGAATACTGATCAGCTTATTGTATCTGTTCCAAATAAATATCAGTAGATAGCTAATCAAAAGTTATGACAGGAACATGTGAGCCGTTTTGACCATTAATGAATAGTTTCGACACAAAAAATCCTACATTTGAAGAATCTCAATTGTCAACACCCTATATCTCTGTAATAATTCCCACTAGACACCAAGTGTGATGCATTGATGGAATCAACTCTTCAGGGAAAGCTCAAGAATGCAATGATATACAAGGTGTTCCATTGAAAAAAACCAATCATCAACCGATATCTTGGAATTCGAACACCCTATAGATATGAAAACAACTTTAGGTGATTGTTCTTATGAAACCCTATTACTGTGTTGTACTTGGATTTTCATTTTATATATCTGACGGTTTGGCTAATATCGGAGGAGAACACACTATAGTGACTCATTCTGTATACGAATAATATTCTCCCATAAATCTTGAACATCCTTCAAACATCATCAAAAACCGCCTCAAGTTGTTACCATGATGTCCTGAGGTTGTCTCAAAAGATTTTATAGGGATGTTCTGAGACGTTATTAGTATGTAGAGAATGGTAACAGGAGGACGTCTTGAGAATATCCTCAGGCTCGCTCTCGACGTCCTGAGGACATGATTGTGAATGCCTCAGAAGGGCCTCAAAAGGAATTTGTGCTATCTGGGTCGCAGTAGGTTCAATGTCTCGAAATCTCGTACTTTTAACATCTCTGAGATGTTTTTGTGCTCGCTGGGAATAGTTAAGTTTTTGCTCATTCTCATTATAAATCCAAGATTCTTCATTGCTTCACGGACAAATTACATCAATTTGAATGTAAAAACTTCATAAACGATAAGATTTCCACAAAATTCTCAAACACACGACATGTTTCGCTAACACAGTAGCTTCGTCAGGTGATATAGTGGTACAATGAACTAAAAAATTCTAAAATTTGTTCTATCCGTCATTCGGTTGCCCCCTTACGAGCAACCCTCAAAAGTCTTCGAAAGTCTTGTGCGAGCAAGGAATGACGGGGGCCTTACCTTTTAACGTGTGATCCCAACCACTTTCTTGGGCCATCAGAAAAATTTCTGCAGTCGACGGGGATCGAACCCACGACCGGCAAGCGAATGCGAATTAGAATATAGACACTCTGTCCGCACGGCTACCTGGCCACCCAACTAAACTAACGTTGGCTTGCTTAACTTTTATACAGGGTTATGATAAAGTAATGCACAAAATTCATTGAACGTACAACGATCACTTTCAAAAAAATGCAAAAACACGTCAAACTGTTCTTTTTATTCCGCATCTTTTGACATAAGCTACAAAAATAACACGTCAAAGTTGTCAAAGTTATGACGTCATCAACAAATTTTTTTAATGGGAAGCTAAGATTTTTATTACATTATGTGAAAGAGCTTGTGTTTTTACACAAGGGAAAAATATTTGCAGTAGGGCTCACATAAAAAAACGAGAAAATGAATAAAAAACGAAATAAACGTAAGTTTCATAATAACGTTTCAATTAACTAAACAGTCCATTAAACCAAAACTATTTCTTATAGGAATTGTTCAAACTGTGTCCCGTTTACTAACTGACATATATATATTTATAGAGTTTTCGATCATCTGCGGAGTTATACGAGTCATTTCGTGTCTAATTCGTTCCATTAAGTCTTCTAAATTGTCTGGCCGTTTGATGTAGACCCGACTTTTCAAATGTTCCCACAGAAAAAAATCAAGGGGGTTAAATCAGGTGACCTAGGTGGCCACTCCATTGGTCCACGTCTTATAATCCACCGTCCTTTAAACTGGTTATCCAGAAACCTTCGAACAGTATGACCATAATGTGGTGGTGCGCAATCTTGTTGGAACCAAATGATGGGATCCAAGCCATACGAAGATGTTCCAAATATCGGTCAGCTGATAAATTCACGCGAAAGTAATAAGGACCAATAAATCTTCCCCGGACGATTCCTACCCAAACATCAATTTTTTGGGGACGCTGGGTGTGTTTTCTCTGCATCCAGTGGGGATTTTCCCGAGCCCAGTAGCGAGGATTGTGTCGATTTACAGAACCACTTAGACAAAACGTTGTCTCATCGGAAAATACTACACTATTAAGAAAATTTGGATTTTCGTCACAATGCCGCATGAAGATTTCACAAAATTCCAAACGTCTGTCCGAATCATCTTCTGAGAGTTCGTGAACAAGATGAACTTTGTATGGGTGTAGTTTGTCTTTTTTTAACATCTTGACTACAAACGACTGACTAACATTTTCTTGTAAGGCAATTTTTGTTGAAGTTGCGTGAGGGTGTTCTTCTACTGACAGCAAAATATCTAACTTCACATCGTCGCTTATTCCTGGTCGTCCTGATTTTCGAGCATCTCTCACGCTTCCCGTTGCATCAAATTTTGCAACAATTCTGCTTACTGTGCTTCTAGCAATTGGAGGTCTTTCAAAATATGTTGCGTTAAATAAAGCACATGTTTCTTGATGACATCGAAGGCGATCGCCGTAACCTACCATGATTAGAATTTCTATCCTTTCTCTTTCGGTTAAACGAGCCATAATAATGAAACTGTGGTGACTCTAATTGTACGACTGACACTGACAAACTGTTGTTTTAGTAAAACAATTGCAAAAATTTATAAGAATAAATGTTCTTACTAGATAAGTTTAAGTTTGACCTCTTTTTATAATTGGTTTTGTTATTTCGTTTTTTATTCCTTTTCTCTTTTTTTTTTCTCATGTGAGCCCTACTGCAACTATTTTTCCCTTGTGTAAAAACACAAGCTCTATCACACAAGTAATAAAAATCTTAGCTTCCCATTAACAAAATTTGTTGATGACGTCATAACTTTGACAACTTTGACGTGTTATTTTTGTAACTTATGTCAAAAGATGCAGAATAAAAAAAACAGTTTGACGTGTTTTTGCATTTTTTTCAAAAGTGATCGTTGTACGTTTTATGAATTTTGTGCATTACTTTATCATAACCCTGTATATCCTACATTCACAACCTGAAGGATTAGTTACCTGTGGACAGGTACGATAAATTTCCATTTTCGGAAATTAGGCACAATATCTACATTGAAATATGGTGTAACGGATCAACTTGAAAGATAGGAATTTATACCTGGGTTATTGGAATTCGTCAAAGTTTCATTATCATATTTACCTGTTTGAAAACTGGTAATGCCAATTTCTCAAAATTATCCAAATATACTGAATATTGGCCTACAGACGGCATGTTTGGATCCTGCTGATGGTTTCGACTTTAAACAAAAAATACTTTATATTATTTTATTTTATCGTTTGTAGCGCACGAGAGGAAATCCCTCGAGAAATTGCTATAATGTTCGAAGAACATCGTGCGTTACCTATGAGAGATAGGGAGAGGAGCTATGTTTTGGAATATACAGATATTTCATTTATATAGGAGTATTTATACAGAGTGCTAAATGAGTAATTTTTCATAGAAGTTCGGAAGGTATAGTTGAAATTTTGAAATTTATTGTTAGCAACAACTTCGTCATTTTTCCAATATGAATGTTGATATGGATACCTAGGTACATGAAAAGTCCAAAACTAGGGGTTCCTGTGTATGAAAAATCATAATTTGGTACCTATATATTTTCATGAAATTTGGAAAAGAACCTTCAAGCCAATTCATTGATGTATCATTTGTTATTATTATTTAAATTGAAATTCATATTGCGAAGGTATATGTTATTCGTGATTGAATTAGAAAAGAAGTATGTCCCTGCCATTCATATTTCATTTGCTGATAATTTTAAAAATTTTGTCACATGGAATTTCCGTTTTCTTGAACTATCATTGTATTCTCTTATTCACGTTAATTATGTTTTCTTGAACAACTATATTCCATGCTATCCCACAGGTTATTAACAAAACGCAACATTTGACGCTACAGAAGCACACTGATTCATTATGAATCGTTTCTTCATGATTATTTTCTAGTAGGCTTGGCGACACAGAGTGGTAAGTGTATCCGAACGCCACGCTGGCGACCCGGGTTCAATGCCTGCAACGGTCGGCTTTTTTAATACTGTTTTCTTTTATTTTCGAAAAATAGACTTTCTGAAGAGTTCTGTGGAGGCATTTACTGTTGAGGCCGATAGTGAGACACAGGCTCAAAGATAGTGAGACACAGGCTCAAAGATTTCAGCACGATGGTGCCTTCGTATGGAAGGATGTGTAAATAACAACAGAAACATTGAAACTTTTTCTACAAAATGCAGATACTTCGCATAAACCATAATTATAATCTATTCCTTAAAATACTTTGAGAATAATTTCAAATCAATAGATTTCTCATTTGATATCACCTACAGCTATTTCTGTCATATATATTCATTTCTTCTCTCTTCATGTAAAATATGATATTTATTTCATTAATAACAGTAAAAACACAATTTCAATATAATTTTATTATATCTTACAGATTAGGAACCTAACCTTGATATAAATTGAATGTGATTTTATGCACACACAGGCGTTCTGCACCTAGGTGCACTCAATATTAACTTATTGCCAACCTTGATTTTCGTTTTTGACTATTAGATAGATAATTGATGAAATAAACCTCTGGTGCGCTCACTCTTCATTTGTTTCGTCAGACTTGTTCTTGATATAAACAATTGAATTTCAGACGATGACGTGGGGTTCACATATCGAATGTTAGATGGCGTGATTCTTAGAACTTATGATCAACATCAGTTCTACCAACCTTGATGCGGCTAAATCGCAAAATGTATTCCCTATCTTCATTGGTCACAATTCGGTCACAATTGTCACATTGATGCCTGTAATTTTGGTACGGCACCAGACTAAATTTAGCGACATTCACCCACGCCATGTTATGTTCATCGAAGTAGGCGAATATCAAGGAATTGTGAAACAGGAAAGGATTGAAGTGCGTACACCAGAGGTTTATTTCATCAATGATAGATACACTGTATAACTATCCTTATGATTTTGTAATTGTGATAGTATTTATGGCCATCTCATAGTTATCTATATGTTGTACATTTGTATATTTAGTTGAAATGATTAAATTGATTAAATTGAACAAAATTGAATGCAGTATCCCGCGTAGGCCATATACGTTCCCCCACCACGCGCTTTATTTCTTGCGTTCTCTCTGCAGGCGCTAGTGCATATTTACACATCCTAACATATATATAACGACGGCACCAGCGTGGTGAAATCTGTGAGCCTGTGTAGCCAACAGTGACGCTACAAAAGCCCACTGATTTAGGCACCTGCACGTATCATGAATCCTTTCTTCATGATTATTTCGAAAAATATACTTCCTGAGAAAAGTTATGTGGGAGGATGTGTAAATATGCGTACCGGTCGCAAACTTTAATAATCCTTACTGGGGATAAAGTGAAGCAGATACAAATTCGCAGTTAATGATAGGAAAAAAGTTGCGCATTCAGAAGGTCATACCAGAGGCAGGAAAATTCTCGAATTTTTTTTTAGTGTTTCAGTTATATCGAAAAAAGTTAATTTTTGTAAAATCTCTTCTATTTTTTTACGCTATTATTAGGGATACAGAAAAAATTAACATAACGTTTTGTATTCGTAGAATCATCAACAACTTTTTTTAAATACGGTCCTGATCATTTGTTCATAGATTCTGATGAAAGCATTCTCCATTTTCAATCCCACCATGTATTATACAAGGTAAATTGAATGTTAAATATTGTCTGTAGGTTAATCGAGGAGGTGGTACATATTCATCATTCGAAATTTTTTGGGATTTTCTCTCCTCGTTTCTATAAAATAAAAATATGAATATTATTTCAATACACGTGTAGTAAGGACAAATCAGATGATTTGCCCCAAAATGTCACTGCGTTTAAAGAATTTTCCTATCAGAGAGCCTAAAATTCACTATAGCTTTTCAGTGACAATTTGTATTGAAAAAAGTTTGGAGAAGAGAAATAAAGGTATATAGAAGAAATATCAAATTTTCACTTATCTTTGGACGTTTCGGGACCGATTTTGCTCCCGTTTTCAACATAAGAAAAGATTATTTCAATAGCGGAGTCGTATATGTCTTGAAGCTTTTCAGTTTTCATTGACAATTGGTGACGTTGGCAGAGTGGAATAATATTGAAATCATTGGAAAAGGAGATAACAACCAGGAAAGAAAAATCAAGGAATCTGCTCGCATTATTCTGAACGGAGACAATAGCATTGCTTCTTGTTCAGTTGATATAGACAGAACATAGTATTCACTACTTGAATCTGAACATGAAAATGGTAAATTCAAGATGAATTAATGAAAACATCCTGTAACTCATTTGATTGCCAATGTCACCAATTGGCAATGAAACCTTTATAGAAACGAGGAGATAAAATCCCAAAAAAATTGGAATAGTAAATTGAGTGTGTGTTTGGAACTAGTTTTAGCCATCAATGTTTTTTCAGGAATACCAAAAGGGAAATCCCATCACATCAACTTATTTCTGATCATTCGTTGTTAAACATTGATGTAGATATTCAATACTGAGAAGTAAAAATAAATATTTCACTAAATTATTCAAAGAAGCGCCTCAATTGAACTAAACTTTGGCAACACGAACAGTAAATGAGAAAAATAACATCCATAAGAAATATTATAACCATTATTTTCCAAACAGAGATATTCTCTTCTTACATTTCTAAGCATTTCTTAGATGAAAGTGTCCCTTAGTTCTTCTTCGTTATCTAAATTGAGATCTTTTCTACCTCCAACGAGAGAAATGAAAATTCTCTCCTTTGCCATCTTCCTTTTCAAGTCTATCAACCTGGCCGCATTGAAATGTAGAGAGGTCCGATAAATTTTCGATGTTATTCGCGATAGAAAATTACACGTCACTCGCCACCTGACGGTAACAGCTTGAACTCTGAGCGGTTTGTTTTGATGATGTGACCAATAAGTACGAACGAATAAGAGAAACAGATGTGAACCAATGAAAACAAAGTAAACATGCTGCTGTGACAGCTTTCAAGAACTCCGATAGGTGGCGTACGCTTATTTTATATCGCGAATAATAATATTCTTTCTTTCTGAACTGACATTTCACTTAGACTGAACTGAATCAGTTAACACGTATTCTAACTAATCAAATTCTTTCGAAAGAACACATAATAATTGATTCAGTTCAGTTCTAGTGAGATATTTCAGTTAGTTATAATAAATATTAGATCATCAGATTGAAATGATGTGATATATGTCTATGTCATTAAATAACAGATTGAATTATATACTTATACATTGATAGCTTTTGTTAATATCGTTAATTTGACACTCTGTTGAATTCGAAACTAGTTCAGTGACACAAACTAGATGTTGGACAGGCATTGGAGTATTGGAGAGAAAGATGGAAGAGGAGATAACTTTCCTCTCTCTCTTTGAGGGTGAAAAAAACACCATTATTTGCGTAAACAAAGTTTTTAACATATCTCCGAAGAGATGAATCCAGCGGTGTCCAATCAGGCGATCGCGCCTGGGAAAGGGACCGTAGAATACATTTAATGGTAGCTCGTGTATGAATCCATTAGCATTGAATAATTCATCAATGTTAATGATTAATTATACATAAGTGGATGAACTGATGATGTTTCTTGTTTGGAGTTACGAAAAAACATTGAAGAGATGGTTAAAACTAGGCCGAAGCAAATAATTAGGACCATATTTGAAAAAAAAGAGTTGATGATGTTTATACTGATACGAAACGTCGTTCCATGGCTGCTAGCAAACAGTGTATATCACTGATGGTAATTTCAATTATTCATTCATTAACTGTATCATCGGAATATTTTTTGCTCCTGAATATATCAGAATCCTAACTTGATAATTACATAAGATAGGAGGGTGTTTCGATGAGAAGTGGGACAAAAATTAATTTTTCATAACTGAAAATTTCTCCGAAAAAATATAAATAGTTAGTGAATGGGGCGTCCTGATTCCGAATCCAAGGTGATTTTCAATCTATTTTGACTCCTAATATCATTTTCCAGAAATTGAGGTGGTTCCAAGGCTGTTGGCGAGCAGTGTGCATCAGTGAAAATCCCGGTGAAAATGCACTCTATGACCACTTGGTATATATCTCTTGCTCCAGGGAAATTCAGGATCCTTGCCCAATTACATAAGATACAGAGGGGTGTTTTTATTTGAAGTGAGACACACACTGTATAGTACCTATATTACTTCAGCTATCAAAATTCAATAATGGAGAATGAAATGAACCAGATGCCTATGGAAATAATGAAATATGCGATTTGTTTTTCTTTCCGAACAAAATTTTGTATTACCTGCCTACGTTATTTTCCTCTGAAAAACACGAATTCCATACCTATTTATCAAGATATTTCAAGGAAAAGTTCGAAATTTCGCCTTCTTCTTCACTGTCTTTGATACTTTTACAGCTATACCGGGTGTTTCTCAAAAGTGGCTCACCCCTATAAATTTTTAGTTTAAACAGATAAACAAATGAGATTTGGTGTGCTAGTATAGTACATATGCATTATTTGGCGTATTCAATTGTTTTTGTCACTTCCGGTTTAATCAGAAGTGACCCATATTACCTCATTTTAAATGGGACACCCTGTATATTTTTACATATTTCTGTAGAGAATAACATCCTGAGTACAATGACACCTCATTTGCCACTTCTTGATATTTATCGTCATGACATATTCATTTTTCAATTTCAAGTAGCAACAACTTTGTTATTTCAAATGGAATACCCTATATTTCATTGCATTTTTCTCGGCATTTTTAGATGCTCCGTAAAAACTAACTACTTAGAGATATCGCGGAGAGTTCTGTGTTACCTAGGATTGATATTTCGAACAGAACACCCTGTATTTTATCGCATTTTGAGATTCTCCCTGAAGAGCTGATTTCTTGGATACATCACACATATGGGGGTCTATCGGAAATGATTACAGATATATATATAGGGTGTTCACAATCGAGATTTTTCAACTTTAGGATTAATTTGTTTGTGTCAATACTATTTATTATCGACCAAAACGGCTCACATGTCCCTATCTTAACTTTTGATTGACCATTTACCTATATTTAATCGGAACAGATACAGGGCGGTGATCGGAATTCCGATTAAATAGCAGTAAATAGTGAATCGAAAGTAGAGAATGGGACATATGTGAGTCGTTTTGACCGATAATGTAGTTTCTAAACAAAAATATCCTAAGTAAGTTGAAAAAGCTCGATATTGATCACCCTTCATATCTCTGTAATATTTTCCAATAGACCCCAAGTGTGATTTATATTGATGAAATCTATACAAAAACAGAATTTTCGAAAAAAAAAAATATTTTGCATTCTTATGTTGAGATCAGGAGCAGATTTGTTCCCGAAACGTCTAAAAAGATAGGTAAATAATCGATTTTTTTCAATATATCTATATTTTTCTTCTCTTCAAACATTTCTCAAAACAGAGTGTCACTGACAAGCTATTGCATTTTTTTTCAAGGCTCCCTAATAGAAAAATTTGTTAATTGCAGTGACATATTTTGAAGCAAGTGATCTGATTTGTCCTACATATACATATATTTATATTGAAATAATACTTTTTTATATTTTTATTGTAAGAAACTAGGAGAGAAATTCTCAAATAATCAAGTAAAATGAAATGTGAATTGCGAGGTGAATTGTTTCAAATTCCATCCAAAAGACAGGCGGAAAAGAAGAGGAAATCTGTATAAATTTATAGTGAAATATAGTCAGTAATATCTTAATAAATATAATGGTTTCTCGAGGGGTGGATCACTTGAGGAAAATTTGTACATGTATTTAAAATACTCTCGATTTAGGAGTATTTATCGTATTTGAATCTATTTAAGATAGTATTTAGTGTATTTATGTAAATATTATTGTATTTAAGATATTTAAAGGTAATTAACAGTATTTAAATATATTTATGCCTATTTGAAAGTATTTGACCGTATTTAAAATTATTTGAGCGTATTTAAATGTATTTATTGAAAAAATGTTGTCTCAGTATACCAAATAAATTGTATTACCTTGGTGGACTCTTCATCAACGTCGAGACAAAACCGCTGAAGCTACGATTGTGAAAATTGGAAATAGGTTATCTTTTGTTATATAGGCAAATTTCCACTATGAAGGGGTAAAATGGGTATGTATCCTTTCACTTTACAAGATGACTTAATTTAACGGACACCCTATGTGTGATATATTTTTCGAATTCACATTTCCATTGAGATTCTAAAAATTTTATAATATTTGGAAAATTTGTCATTACTCAAACGTGGATCACCCTGTAAATTTAATTTTGATGTGCAAATGTGGCTAATTGATTGTCTCAGGAGATTCCTGGGAAATGGATAGTTTGAAAGCACTGTACAAATGATCACAAACGGGAAGATCAGATAATATCTTTATGACGGACATGGTATGCTATGATATAGGAATATAAATTGAATATTGACTTACTTGAATTATAAACAAAACCACTCAAAACAAGTGACAGTAATAACACAAGAAATTTTCGTCCTGCAATAGAAGTCATTAACGGTCAGTAACATGTAAAATCTTGTTTGAATATTTCACACCTGATTTCGCAGATTCTGGACCGTGTCTGAGCCGTGCTTTGAATTATACTGTAACGCGCATGCTTCATAACTATTTAAAACTATCTAAATATATTTAAATCTACCTTATTATTGTATTTAATTGTATCTGGGGTATTTAAGACTATCTGAATATATTTAAATCTATCTAATTGTATTTAATTATATTTAAGTGTATATAAGGTAATTAAAAATATTTAAATATATCTTGAATGTATTTAATGTATTTAAAGGGTATTTATAAATACTTTCTACAAAAATGTACACGTATTTGGAGGAATTTAAATATATTTAATTATATCTAGGGGTATCTAAAACTATCTCTAAATATATTTAAATCTATCTTATTGTATTTAATTATATTTAAGTGTATCTAATGTAATTAAAAATATTTAAATGTATCTTGAATGTATTTAAGGTATTTAAAGGGTATTTATAAATACTTTTTACAAAAATGTACACGTATTTATGGAAGTGATCAACCCCTCATGGTTTCTTAACGTATTTTTATATGAGTATTTGCCCAGGTATTTTCATTATCAAATTCGTGTTACTCAGACAAAAATACATAACAGAAAAAAATTACGAAGAAAAACCCATCACACAATAAGTGCAAAATTGCCTAAAATATTGTTTTTGATATGTTATTAATTGATGTTCCTCACCCTTGTAATTTTCTTGCTAGAACTGCTCTCTTATTTCCATCTAATGAAATAATATCGAACCCTATTCTGGTATTATTATTTCTGACTTCTTCTGTATAAAATCCATCACATTCAATTTGCGACATTTTCATGTTCTCTATAATTTTTTTCACCAAACTTGTTTTGCCAATACCTTCGATAAACTATGAATTAGTTTGCTAGCGATCACCCCAACGGCCAAAACTCACCTGGAGGTCCTGTTAACAAGATATGTCTCATTATATATTCACACAGATATCACCTCAAAGTATTTATATTAATTCATAATAAAATATATAAATATATATTATGAAATTATTTGAAATTCAAAATTGAAAATTTTTGAGGTTATGTAAATGTCAGAAATGGAAGAGTGATGGGGAATGTACAGAAGAATGAGATGAGTACTGTTAATATCGATATTAATAGCGTTGATTGATATTTAATAGGCAAAGATCCATTCTATTTTAAGTTTTTTTATAGAAAATATCAATCTACGTTTTCATAATTCAGTCGGAGAATACTCTTTTTGATGCAAAGTACCAAGTACCATCTAAGATAATATGAATCTTATCACGTGATGGAAATGGTTCGAAATATTTACCTACGTGAAGTGGGCTGCCAGAGCTGGCTGCCAGAATTTCCGAACTTTCCCGATCGACCAGTGGCACACGTTTCCCCCCTTTTAGGGTAGGGAATATCGAAATTCCTCAACTGCTTTTGTTTGCGATGATGCGATGTATAATAAAGCACTGCACAGCTGCTTTTGGGTCTCGAATCATTTTCTATTGAGTCTATAGAATATAGAATATTCATTCTTTACCAAATCATAGGCTTGAAAGACTAAAATTTAAAGAATATTATATTTTCGAATAGCCGCTTTTGGGTCAGGAAGATAGGTAATCATGTGTAGAATCATGCTATCAAAGAATAATTCCTTGCGAAATCGTATGGTAGACTCCACACGAAAAAAACAGATTTTTCGAAAAAAAAAATTGTTTTCGAAACTTTTGCAAAAAACTGCTTAGCTGCTTTCCCTAACAACACGGGTACATCCTAGGGACTTCCCAGGGACGTCCCTAATTTCGAATAAGGACATCCCAGGGATATCTTTTCTGGGACAAAGTACATACTAGGGACGTCCCAGGGACATCCGCTTTCAGACAAAAAGGACATCCAAGGGATGTCCCTCCTGGTACGTCCCTGGGATGTACCGAGTACAAAGAAGGGATATCCCTTCGACAAAAGAAAAAAAAAAGTAGGTCTAGTTGGGATTGAACCCGGGACCTTCAGCTTATCAGGCACGCACCTTACTCCATTGGCCAATATGCCTTCTGAAGATTCATGTATTGAACAGATTTATAAACAGGACAACTACAGAAACCTGGATAAATAAAACTGTTAGGATTCGGGTATAATAATTAACATTCTTGGGTGTTTGAAAATGAGGGGCATTATGCATTTACGATCTCTGTTTGCGAAACATGGTCATTTCTTGAGAAGTTTTGAGACTATATTCTTTATTTTCATCACAATTATTTTCCGGAAGGAATACATTTTCGAAAAAATTCGACTCAATATTTTGATGATATTGAATGACTCTCTGATGTGAAGAATGGATATCAGATATTCCAGGGACACGAATGGGATAACCTAGGGATGTACCGGGTGGGATGTCCACTGGACAACTACTGGCGGGACATCCCCTGGATGTCCCAATCATTTCCTTGTACCGCGGGACATAAAAGGGACGCACCTAGGACATCCCTGTGTTGTTAGGGTTCGGGCCAGGAAGATAGGTAATCATGTGTTGAATCATGCTATCAAAAAATAATTCCTTGCGAAATCATATGGTAGACTCCACACGAAAATAACAGATTTTTCGAAAATATTTTCTTTTTTTTTTCGTGTGGAGTCTACCATAAGATTTCGCAAGGAATTATTCTTTGATAGCATGATTCTACACATGATTACCTATCTTCCTGACCCGAAAGCAGCTGAGCAGTTTTTTGCAAAAGTATGGAAAAAAAATATTTGCGAAAAATCTGTTTTTTTCGTGTGGAGTCTACCAAACGATTTCGCAAGGAATCATTTTTTGATAGCATGATTCTACACATGATTACCTATCTTCCTGACCCGAAAACAGCTAAGCAGTTTCTTGCAAAAGTATCGAAAAAATTTTTTTCGTGTGGAGTCTACCATACGATTTGGCAAGGAATTATTTTTTGATAGCATGATTCTTTCTACACATGATTACCTATCTTCCTGACTCGAAAGCAGCTAAGCAGTTTTTTGCAAAAGTATCGAAAACAAATATTTTCGAAAAATCTGTTTTTTTCGTGTGGAGCACCATACGATTTCGCAAGGAATTATTTTTTGATAGCATGATTCTACACATGGTTACCTATCTTCCTGACCCGAAACCAGCTGAGCAGTTTTTTGCAAAAGTATCGAAAAAAAATATTTTTGAAGAATCTATGTTTTTTTCGTGTGGAGTCTACCATACGATTTCGCAAGGAATTATTTTCTGACAGCATGATTCTACACATGATTACCTATCTTCCTGACCCAAAAACAGCTGGGAAGTTTTTTGACAAAGTATTGAAAATAGAATATTTTTCAAATTTTAGTCTTTCATGCCTATATGATTTGGTAAAGAATGATAGCTTTGCAGTGCTTTATTATACATCGCATCATCGCAAACAAAAGCAGTTGAGGAATTTCGATATTCCCTACCCTAAAAGGGGGAAAACGTGTGCCACTGGTCGATCGGGAAAGTTCGGAAATTCTGGCAGCCAGCTCTAGCAGCCCACTTCACGTAGGTGAAATATTTAGGCATTTCTCATTTCTGACAGTCGTGACACTGACATCAGTAGTGGTATAGTCGAATGACAGAAACTGAAGAGATAAATAATAATTTACCAATGAAATAACAATATAAATAGGGTTCGAGAATATTATATTTATGTACGGAATAAAATTTATATGGCATAATAATTAACATCTCCTTAAAAATGGTTTGTCGTCTGCAAAGAAGCAGGCATGCAATTGTTTTTTAGTTTCCATATTTTAATTGATTTTCATTAGTTGTCTCAAGAGTTGTCTGCATAATATATTCTTGATAAACAAAGTGGAATATCAGTTATTCAACATGACTGTGAGTATGCCAAAGATTCCTGCTGTCAGGAAGTATAAAAGGGAAACCACAGAAGTCAGTGGTTGCCTTAAATACATGATATTTGGTTTCAATGTATTATTTTGGGTAAGTCCTATTTTATTACTGGATCATCAATATCTGGAGGTCCTAACCAAGATATGTTTCATTTGATCAGCTCCTTGGTCTTGGAATACTGACAATTGGGGTTTGGGCTTGGAGCGAAAAAGATATTTTCAACAATTTGGGGAAGGTGGCGAATGTTGCACTAGATCCAGCTTTTGTCCTTATATGTATTGGTGAGTTGAAATTCTCTGGGATATGTTCTAATGTGCATGTGGATAATATGTTAGAGTTGTGTGTTCCAAGAAACAGCTCCTTCCATTTGAATCTGTTCATAGAATTTCATTCAACTTATATTTGATTTGGTGAAATTTAATTGAGAAATTGAATATAAATAATATCTATGAACATACCATACATATTGTGTTATTGATAGCATTTTTTCAAGGAAGTGTATAGCCTGCCAGCCAGTCAGCAATCTATACTTTTTTAGGCTGCCCACAGTTCAGCAGACTATAACTCTTTGTTTAGGATGCTGACCAGTAGACTGAAATTATCAATTTTGAGGAAGAAAAAACATTATTTGAAAAATAACTTCTGAAAAAATGAGATATACTTTCACAAACAGACTAAACTATTGGTGGAACAAAAACCTGTTCAAAATAATTTTGTGAACTAACAATGTAGGAAGAAACAACTAGATTATGAAAATATAAAAAGAAAGTGATTGCACTGACCTTCTACCTTAGGGGTTTGTTTGAGTGAGGTTCAGGTGAAATGATGATTATATTTCTAGTTCTTTTATTTATTTATAAACAAATCCTATTTACAAACGATCTCTTTTGCACCTTTGGGGTTTAGTTGGAACATGTACCATGAATTCCACTGCCTTATCCGTCGATAGCCACTCCTTTTCACCTCCTGAAGCGTGATAGCCTGAGTTGTTTATCACTATTCCGGAACTCGTCTTCTCATCAATGTCTCGCTGCGTCTATGGATTGCAACGACTCGCCTACTGATGAAACTGCAATGCTCTGGAGATGGTTCTCAGTATTCTCTTTTATCAACTTTTTCATCATCGTCTTGTCAGTCCACCTTGACAATTTTTTAAACAAACCCTTTTTTTTCATGTCTTCATGACAACTCGTTCTCATCACAACCTCTTCTACAGGATGTGCATAACCAAAACTTGGTGTGCTTGGTACATTCACCCCCCTTTTAAATTTTAAAAAAAAGCACTATTTGTTACAATACCAACCTATATCATCTATACAAAGAGCTCTTTGAATAAGATTTAAAACAACAAGAATGACGAGAGCCCATCAAAATGACAATTGAATAGGTCATCCACCCCCCTTTTAAATTTTAGAAAAGAGCACCCAGTGTGAACAAAAAAATACTGACTATAAAAACTCAAATATATAATAACAAACTGATCATTTCAAAACATGTGACCCACATCCAACAACAAACGATTATTTCAATTAACATTTCTTAATCATTTCAAATCCTGTACCGTCTCACAAGGAGCTACATATCTCTTCAGATTCAAAATATTATAGTTCCCTATTACCTTTTCACCATCAGAAATCTCATATGCATTTGGTCCAATCTTATTACTCACTACAAATGGTCCTTGATATAGAAGAAAAAACTTCTTTATTTTAAACTCTTCTGCCGATGATTGGGAATGAGATCGAATCCATACACGATCTGCAATCTCTACTTTATTACATGAATGTTTTGAATCATGGCGCAACTTACGTTTTTCCGCTTTACGCATTAAACGGTCGTGAGCTAAGCCCATAATGTATTCCTGTCCTGGACACGTCATAACAGGTAATACATTTTTCAAAATAGATTCCTGCCGAACTTTTCCAAAATGGATCTCATTTGGTGTGAAACCAGTACTTTCATGGGTCACCTCATTCAGCCATGTTTCAACACGTTTCACCACATGAGCCCATTTTGTATGACTTTCGTGACAAAGATAGCGTAATAATCGTCCAATTTCCCTGTTGACCCGTTCCGTACTATTTCCTTGAGGGTAGTAATAAGTAGTGTGACTAACCTTCACGCCTTCTGCCTCCAATAAATTTTTCCATCGTTGAGAAAACTGTGTTCCATTATCCGACAGCACTACTGACGGTTTGCCAACGCGAATGAAATAATCATTTTTCAAACGATTGAAAATAGCTATTGTGGTCGCTCTTCTCAAGGGATATAGTGACACTAATTTAGAAAATGAATCGATTACCACTAATAACTGAGTCGTACCAAATCTAGACCGCGGTAGAGGCCCCATCAGATCAAGACAAACCAATTTATTTATAGCATCTCCAATAACAGAGTGCATTTCTCCATACAAACGTGGAGATATTTTAACTTGTTGGCAAATTTCACAACCAGCTATAACCTTTCTGATATGCGAACGCATTTTACCCCAAAAGAAATATTTTCTCAACACCCAATAAGTTTTAGTGGCTCCAAAGTGTCCATGTTCCTCGTGTTCCTGCTTTATCAAGTCAATTATGTGACTTCGAGGCACACAAACTCGTAGACCTCCATCATTTTCTCCGCGCCGATACAGAACATTGTTACGAACAACATACCATTTTCGAATACTTTCCGAACAATCAGTTTTTTTTAGAGATGATAAAATCATCGAACAAAAAAGGTCATCATTCTGATCTCTCGTTATATTTTGCATATTCTTCAAAGTTACTTTATACGCCGCGGAATGTTTCACTACAAAAATCTCCACAACTTCAGATTGACTTGGTTCGTCTTGCCTGACTTGCATATCTAACGGATATCGAGATAAGCAATCGGCAAGTACATTATCTTTTCCATTACAATACATTACCTCAAAGGCATATTCTTGAAGAAACAGTGTCCAGCGTGCTAGTCGCGAATTTAACAATCTACACCTCAATAAGAATGACAAAGCTTTATGATCCGTTATAATGGTCAACTCCTGTCCCAATACCAACACCCTCCATTGCTTCAAAGCATGCAATATAGCCAATGCCTCCTTCTCCGTGATTCCATATCGCAGTTCACCACCTTTGAGAGTACGGCTGGTAAATGCTATAAAATTCTGACACTTTGACACCTTGTCAATTTGAAATAAACATGCCCCAAGACCGTAGCCGGAACTGTCACATTGAATATAAAATCTTTCACCGATTACAGGGTGTTCTAAAAACGTAACTTTCAAATATGATACTTTTATATCGTTGAAAGCCTTCTCTTCGACTTCCGACCAACTCCACTTTACTCCTTTACGCAATAGCCTTATCAATGGCATAGTCAAATCTGCATAATTTTCCACAAACCTCCTATCGTAATTACACGCTCCTAAAAACGATCGCAAATGTCGAATATTCAATGGGCGTGGAAATTGTTGAATTGATGTCACCCGATCATTATCGATAGATGTACCCCGCGGAGTTAAAATATGCCCCAAAAATTTAACTTCACTACATGCAAAACAACACTTTTTGAGTTTAATTGTTACACCGGCCTTACTTAAGAGAGAAAAGATTTTATCCAAATGCTCTAAATGTTCCTCTACTGAAGACGACCAGATTAATATGTCATCTACATATGGCATAGCAAAAGATAATTCACCTAAAATTTTATCTAAAGCGGTAATGAAACTGCCAACTGAAGTACATAGTCCGAATGGTAAAACGCGAAATTGGTAAGTATGACCCTCAAACTGGAATCCAGTATATTTACGAGACTCTGGCCTTATCTGAACCTGCCAGTATGATGCAGTTAAATCAAGTGTACTCAGAATACGTACCCCAACAAAATTGAATATCATCTCACTAGGACTTGGAGGTATTACGTGATCCCTAACCATACGAGTATTCAGATATCTAGCATCTAAACACACTCTAGCACTTTTATCTTTTTTTCCCACAACCACAATCGGACTAATGTATTCAGTCTGAGCTCTTTCAATCACCCCCCATTCGATCATTTCCTGAATCTGAGACCTAGCCGATTCTTTATGACATTGTGGAATTGGATAAGAACGCTTGTAAAATGGCGATTCATCCTTTATACTGATGGTATGATAATAATTATTTATCAAGCCTGGTTGGTTTGAAAACAATTGTTGATATTTATTGAGCAACTGTAACAGTCTCACCTTTTCAGATCTATCAAGCATCTCGTTTTTCTCAACTATAGATTCCCTATCCTCTAGAGAATATATTACACGTCCTCGTTCCCTAACTAATAACTCTTCCTGATCATCGACTTCGTCAAAATAAAATATTGTATTGTCCTGTGATGGTTCCGATAAAAAACTGAAATGAACAACCTCTTCATCAATAACTAGTCTCACTAAACTTTTTTCAAAATCGACAATAGCTTTATGATCCAATAACCAATCACAACCAAGAATTAACTTTTTCGTGAGAGTTGGAACAACTATACATGATACCTCCATTTTGTAATTTCCTTTATTTATATCAATCAATACTTGAAAATCAATTTTTTTCGATTTTGAGTGTACAGCTCCCTTCACATGCAACCCGGTAACCGGAAAAATAGGTACCTTACAATCATTCGTTTTAATAGTTTCAAAAAACTCTTCCGACATACAATTATAATGACTTCCTGAATCAATTAAAGCCTCTACTGTATCACCATACACTCTTACCGTTAATAAAGGACATTGGACTTTATCATTCTTTTTCGATATCAATTCTGGTTCTGCAAGAAGATCAGACTCCATATCATTATTGAATGTCGGTATGATCTCAAACGACTCAGAACAGTTATTAACATTATTGCCAATATCTACGCAGTTCTCATCTCTTTGTTCAATTAAATGGATATTTTGATCACCCTGTGGGTTTCGAACTTGCCCAGTCTGAGGCGTACTCACAGTATTACCATACATTTGTGCCCGTTCATTTTGAACTACTACTCCGTTCATATTCTGATGCTCCCCTCTATTATCAGTATTACCCAGATGTTCCCTTCTATTTTCATATCTGTAAACATTTCCACGACTATTCTCATAAAAATTATTATTAAGGCGATTATAATTTCCTCCTCTTAAAGCCACATTTCTTGAATAGTTTCCTCCATTATAATTATCTCGTCTATACTGATTATTCCCATTGACCATTTCACGTCTACTATTTCTGACTCGAATTTCTTCCTCTTCATATGTTCTATCTAATTCTCTCAAATATCTTTCTATTTCATCAATTTCATATATTCCGTTATTCAAAATCCCCCGACGTATGGAATGATCAAAATGCTTAATCAATTGACTAACTAACTCTCGTTCGGTGAAAGGTTGGGTGAGGTAATTATTTTCCCGCACATACTTCAAGAAATAGTCACCTCTAGACCCAGATTCATAGCTACCGTATTGAATACTTCTAAAAGTTTGCCGTTCGTTTTCAGAATTCCAATACCTATTCATAAACGACTCGCAAAATTCCCCAAAGTGATTGAATCTACCTTCTATAGCTGCAGACCACATAGCTGCTGACCCGCGCAGATTACCCATAGCTAAACCAACTTTCTTATTATTCAGAACATTGGCATCTTCGAAAATACTTACGAGTTTTCTGATAAAATCTACAGGATGTGTACAACCTCCAGGAGTGAAAATTATATTGTTACCCCCCAAATCTTTCCAAAGAGATATGTAGCACCTATCGCTCAACAATTCATTTGTAGAAAACTTACCATTCAACTTTTGACAGTCGCTTGAATCTTTATCATTTTTCTGAATCAACTCATCAACTCATCATTCATCAAAACTTTTTCAAGCATCTTCTGCATTGTTGTTACATTTTCAGTCAATTGCCCCAAAGCAGTTTCAAGATCATCAACCCGCGATACTTCTACATATTCATCAAATTTTTGTTTTTCTTTTCTAGATTTCTTTGACATGACTCTTATTATTTTATCAGTCACACTGAATGCTTTTCTCTTTACACTAACACCAACATCCCGACATCTCGGAAAGTGAAAATGACCAAAATCTTGAATACCCTAATCTCTGAATCTTAGAAAGACAGAAAAAAAATAGAAATATATCAATCATTCACCTTCCAGAGTACGTTGGGCGCCAAAATTTACTGACCTTCTACCTTAGGGGTTTGTTTGAGTGAGGTTCAGGTGAAATGATGATTATATTTCTAGTTCTTTTATTTATTTATAAACAAATCCTATTTACAAACGATCTCTTTTGCACCTTTGGGGTTTAGTTGGAACATGTACCATGAATTCCACTGCCTTATCCGTCGATAGCCACTCCTTTTCACCTCCTGAAGCGTGATAGCCTGAGTTGTTTATCACTATTCCGGAACTCGTCTTCTCATCAATGTCTCGCTGCGTCTATGGATTGCAACGACTCGCCTACTGATGAAACTGCAATGCTCTGGAGATGGTTCTCAGTATTCTCTTTTATCAACTTTTTCATCATCGTCTTGTCAGTCCACCTTGACAATTTTTTAAACAAACCCTTTTTTTTCATGTCTTCATGACAACTCGTTCTCATCACAACCTCTTCTACAGGATGTGCATAACCAAAACTTGGTGTGCTTGGTACATGATGTATACTCAACCCAAACAGATTTGTTAAACACAAATCTGATGAGAAAAAAATATTGAAAAGACACATATCATGTGTGTTCAATAGATATAATTCAATGTTCATCATGGCATATAGCCAGGAAAGTAGTTGTTTTCTATTGAATAAACTGAAAAAGAGTTGATGATCTCATCATATAGAGAATGCAAATTCTCAATATATTGCTTTTCATAAATATATATCCATTTTTGTATATTCATAATTTATCTGAGAATATTCCTTTTCACCATATAAAAATACTATTTCATGTAGGATTTGAACAGGAGACCACAGGATTGACAAGCCAATGTCTATCTGCTGGAATACTGTCTTGGATCTTCCTGTTATTCAGATAGAATGTATTCCACTGAATACTCTGCAGTCCAGAGAAAAAGTATAGTCTGCTGACTGGTCAGCATCCCAAAAAAAATTGTATACTGCTGACCAGTTGGCATACTATGCTTTTTTTGGGTTGCGCACCCCACTGATTTTATACAGAAAGAATGTATTCCACTAAATACTCTGCAGTCCGAAGAAAAAGTATAGTCTGCTGACTGGTCAGCATCCCAAAAAAAAATTGTAGACTGCCCACCAGTTGGGCATACTGTGCTTTTTTTTGGTTGCCCACCTAACCAATTTCATACAGAAAGAATGTATTCCACTGAATACTCTGCAGTCCAGAGAAAAAGTATAGTCTGCTGACTGGTCAGCATCCCAAAAAAAATTGTATACTGCTGACCAGTTGGCATACTATGCTTTTTTTTTGGTTGCCCACCCCACCGATTTAATAAAGAAAGAATGTATTCTACTGAAAACTCTGCAGTCCAGAGAATAAGTATAGTCTGCTGACTGGCCAGCATTCCAAAAAAAATTGTAGACTGCTGACCAGTTGGCATACTAGGCTTTTTTTTGGGTTACCCACCCCACTGATTTTATACAGAAAGAATGTGTTCCACTGAATACTCTGCAGTCCAGAGAAAAAGTATAGTCTGCTGACTGGTCAGCATCCAAAAAAAAAATTATAGACTACTGACCAGTTGACATACTATGCTTTTTTTTTGGGTTACTCACCCCACTGATTTCATAAAGAAAGATTGTATTCCACTGAATGGTCGGTAGTCTACAGAAAAAGTATAGTTTGCTGACTGGTTGGTTACCTTGGATGTTACTTATAATTATTTATTACTCATTTATAAGTAGACTTGAAGACAACATTGAGAATGAAATGGTTTGGCTAGGTGGACAATGTTCTCAATATTTTGGACTTGATTTTTGGTGGGTAACATCAAGAACTCAGATGACATATTTTGGAATGAGAATGTCACATTGTTCAAAGATATTTTGAAACAAAATGAATATTTGATGAAAAAAATCAAGGAACCACACATCACAATTAAAGAAAGGACTGCACATTGAATCCACTCAACCTTACTGCAACTACTAAGAACCATAAATTTACAGTTATCTGGGTTGAGAAAAAAAAAGAGTTGGATTTTTTTTCAGATTTTTTTGAGGAAGTTTAGATTTTTTTGCATTTATGCCAATTTTTTTCGTGACCTTGAAAATGGAAAAAAGAAATTCATTTTGTCCGCTAATCATTTCATTATTTTTTTAGTCCAATACACTTTTTCCAGGTCTCCCATAAATTTGTTCACATCTCACTTCACAAATGTGCTCTTGTTCCCTATTGGTGGGTGTAGATAAGGGCAACTGTTTCATTTTTTTTAAAGAAAGTTCCTGGGGTTCTATTCTCTAACCATTTAAATTCAATTCCCATACTAATAAACAAAGATGCACTTACCTATGTGACATATGTTGAAGTATAATATCATTATAAGATCGAATTCCTATATGAATAAGGCTCCTGGATAGACTCCTGGTCCGATTCTGTACCAGAAAAACATTTTTTGCCCATTTCGTCCAAACAGCCTGTATAGTAATTTTAAATAAAGCTCGTCTGGCGAAAACTGTTAATCTCTCTTATCAGTGTAAAACCAGCCATCAGTTCCATCCAGACATGAATTTCTCAATAGGCGCGCGCCATACCACCAATGGTCGTTTATTACCAATTTGTACTCCTGGCTGGCCATGAAAGTACTAAACTTCCAAAATATGTCTGTGGGTGGAACTACTTTCCATTATTGTATTTCTCTAAGGGTTCTTAATAATTTTCATATCTCACAATATTTTATCGGGCAAGAATTAATTCCACAGGCCCCCTTTTTTGAAATTCATGAAAAAAAAAACGTGTATTTTGAAGAAAGTTATGATTTTTTTTTTCGTAATTCAAAAAAAGTGGTCCTGTATAAGTTAATTCTTGCTCAACAAAATATTCATCATCAAGTACCATCAGAGGAACATTCCCACTAAAAAGTTGCTTTTTTTACGAAATTTCATAAAAGGGGGGATAATTCTTACCCGACAAAATATTGTGAGATATACTAATCATCAAATACCATCAGAGGAACATATTTATGAGAAAAAAAACTCCCACCGATGTTTATTTTGAAAAGAATATGATTTTTTTCAAAATCAAAAAAAGTTGTATAAGTTATTTCTTGCTCGGCAAAATACTCTTCATTAAATATAGTTTATGCAAAGTCAGTTAAACCCATCACCACAATCCGTCGGCCCCTTTGAAAGTTTAAAGAGTGTGGCAGCGCGGCGCGACATTCGTTAGATGATCTCTTCAACTGACTTTGCATAAACTTTACCATCAAAGGAGCATGCTAATAGTATAAATTAGTAATAAACGACCATTGGTGGAATGGTGCGCGCCTCGAATAATTGGCGAAGTTGTGTATGGAACTCGTTACTGGCTTCACACCAAATATCAACAACCTATATATTTATGAAACCAGAAAAGATAGATCTTCCATTTCCTCCAAAAATATATAGGGTGTTCGAAAGCTCCTTCCTTTGACAGTAATACTCCACTTTAAGCAATATGAACTGCTACCAAAGATATAGGGTTTTCCTCGGGGTGTTATGTTAATGTTTAGTTGAAGTTAGGTTAATGTCGAGGTTATGTTTATTTTGTCAATTTGATGTTAAGTTGTTAAATTAATATTGAGGTGATGATAAGTTAATGTTAGGTTAATGTTAATTGATGTTAAGTTGATGTTAATTGAATGGTGAGTTGATGTTGAGTTAATGTTAAGTTAATGCTGAGTTAATATTACGTTAAAGTTAAGTTAATGTTGAGTTGATGTTAAGTTAATGTTGAGTTAATGTTAAGTTGATGTTGAGTTAATGTTGAAGAAATGATAAGTTAATGATTTAAAGTTAATATTGAAGTTAAATTAAATAATAATAATAATAATAATCATAATGTCACCTTCATGCGATAGAATATAATTAGAAACATGATATCTACACAGGTCCCATGAACACTCATAATGCATATTATATAATCGGAATATTTGTGGTCGTAGAAAAAAAAGTGTAGGAATCTCGTTGGAAAGTGCATTTCCAGTGCACGTTTCGTTTTCTCGCCACTCGCGCTGAAAATATGTCAATTTCCACCTTAGTTATGTAATATACTAATTACTAGCTGCAGTTCATATTTTGAAAAATAATATAATTTCAAGGTACAGTCACATTTGTGATTGGCTTCACTGGATGTGTGGGAGCCTTGAGAGAAAACACGTGCCTGCTAGCAACGGTGAGTTGAAAATTGATTAAGCATGAATAATTCTAAAAGGTGTTTTCTTTTCAGTATGCCATTTTTCTATCGGTATTGTTACTTTGTGAAATGACAGCAGGAATATTGGGTTTCATATTCAAAGACTGGGTAAGTGGGCGACGTTTATTTGACATACAGGGTGCAAATATTTCAAACACTGAGAACGCTTGACGTGTACTATCGAATGGCACTAATAAAATGAATTTGGTGATCAAAATAAAATTTGAGGTTAGACCCCTTTTCCCACCCAAAGTTCTACACTGTAGCAAATCTGACGTCACCTCTGTTCAAATTTCCATGCAGTAGGAACAAGCACGCGGAGTTCAATCATTTAAATTGTTTTAAAGTGTCGTTCTGGATTTTTTACTCGTATTTTGTTTTATTTTTGGGATGGAATTTCTCGTTAATCAGAAGAATTGGAAAAAATCTGATATCATGGGAATATTCCTTAGACTGTATCATATTAATGTACTGAATATGTGCACTCATTTCAAAAACACCTTGTATAAGCACAAAAGAAAAAGAAAGTGAACCAATGAAAACAAAGAAACAGGCTCATCCTTTGACAGCTTTCAAGATCTCCGATAGGTGGCGTACGCTTATTTTCTCTCGTGAACTATGTGTTGAAACTGTCTATCTACGATTCTTGGATTTAGAATCTAGAATCAGAAGAAGGAGCTCTACCGATTAGGAAAATAAAATACAGCTTGTTCCATTTACAAAATACCAGTTTATGTAGAATTTTTAAGTTTACGATGCTTTTTTTGCATTTTCTAGTTCTAGATTGTGAGAGCATATAAAACTACTGAATGTTTGACAATTTGAACATTTCTGTAAGTCCAATTAAATTATCGTTTCTATAAAATACGGGTCTGACAAATTACAGGTTCTATGAAATACGGATATGATAAAATAGGATTTCTATGAAAAGTTGTTATGACAAAATACGATTATAATGGTTTATTGGTTCTATGAAATACGGTTTTGACGAATTACGGTTTCTATTAAATACGGTTATGACGAATTGAAATTCTGATGAAATATAGTTCTGATAGATTACCAATTTGATGGAGAACTAGTACGATAGACTGATGCTGCGACAAAATACGGATATGATAATTTACTGCCTCGATAGAATATAGTTCTGATAAGATACAGATATGATGGAATGATGATTCTTATTAATACCATTTCGACATATAACTGTTTGATGATTCACGTATTGAAATTTTATATTTCGATGAAGTACGGCCCGATGTTTTACATTTTGATATTTTACGGTTCTACAGAATACAGTGTCGATTCTATACTATTTAGACGATTTACCGATTTAATGAAATATTTTTCTATGGATTTCAATTCGATACTTTATATTTTGACATATTAGGTGTCCCCATGTAGAGTGCTCGAAAATCTTATTTTAAGCTCTTTAGAGTGAGGATACTCTTGTCATGCTGAACAGCTGAAGAAAAATCAGGAGAAATATATATTATGTTTCTTTTTCTGTACCCCTTATTAAACGAGTGAAGACATTATTATTTGAAATCCCAAAAGTGGCGTAACGTCAAAAGCACTCAATGCTATTTTGTAGTTATATCAATATTGCATGTATTTACATGAAATGAATATTGGCATTTGGAGGTTCATCAAACACTAGAAATGTCTTCTCGTCTTTGGGCAACTCAAATAAACAGTCAGTCAGTGTATTATTATCCTTTTGACATATTACATGTATAGGATTTAGTCAATTTATGTTAGTACAAATACAAGAATTGTAAATAATTTGAAGCATTAGATGAAGAGATAAAAATGAAACATATATTAAGAATAAGACATACTATTATACATACGTATTAGGGAGTCACGAGACCTTATTTGTTGTGGTAGAGTGTCAAATAATTTTGGGCCAAATATATTCTTAAAATTTTTGCAATTTGTTACCAAAATAGGCATCATTAACAATCATTTTCGCAGGGACATCTGTAACATTTTCAGAAATGACGTTTCAACCTTCCAGTAGTCGCACGCGGAGTATCACTCCGCACGAATATAAAACACGAGTTTTCTCGAATATACTTCATTCCCTTATTCCACCGCACTTAATACCTTCCTAAAATGACGAGTTCGGTACGAATCGAGTATTACCGATGTGCAGCGACCTTAAACGTCTTAGTTATATTGCATTTTGCAGTTACACTTTGCAGCTATTTTGGGTGTTTTAGGAAAAAAAATTGTCTCATTTAATGAATGATATTTCATAAAATACCGTTTTGAGAGCACACATGATCGATGCTACTGTGATAAAAAAAATAGACACACCCAATTTTATTGTAGTACATGTGAAAAAATTCATGTGCTTATTAGAACCCGCTTCATTCATTCGCAGAGATTGCCGATGAGACATTGGTGGTTTGAGATTTAAACATTTTCAGTTTGTCCTCAAATTATAGTGTTTTTGTTCGAATTCTAGTTATCTAATCTTCGATAGATGTCCTATGTTAATTTTGGGTTTTGTTATTGAATAAATATATTTTTATTGCAAGTTCGATATTTTACTTCGTAGAGATATTCATGTCCGAAGGCATACTGATGAAATCTTTGAAAAAATTGAAGTCATCATGTTCAAACCACCCAAATTCTCCATTGCGGAGTCAGACTCCGCAGCGACAGACTATGTCCTCATGTGGTCTAATCTAAGAATGAGGATAAGTCGCAAATGTCAATGGTGACAAGCATGTCCGCACTCTTTGAAGTGTCTGAAATGAGATGTTCAAGGCACTCTACCCTAACGTAGGTCACTGGTTTCTTCTTTATTCCAGATAAAATCTCAAGCCACTATCGGCTTTCAAACTTTCATCATCCACTATAGGGAGGATCCTGATCAACAAAACCTGATAGACTGGATACAGGAAGATTGGGTCAGTAATAATTCCCACTCAGATTTGTAGTTAAAAGTCCTTCGAATGTTATCGAAAATTTCACACCTAACATTTTCGACCAACAGCCTGTATTTTGTATCGTTACCATAGCAACTGAACAAATTTCCGGAAATTGTTTCCTCCTCCTTGGATGAAGGAGTATGAAATTACACTAGAAGTGTTCTGACTAGGTGAAATGACCTTTTTTACGTTTAGCTTCAGATTATGTCGAATTATTCATTCACTATAATGATGGTTATTCAACCTAACAATGTTATGGATGTGAATTTTATAAAAACTACTTATTTCTTCGAGTTCCTTCTAACCGAATATGTTTCCACCAACTCTAGTGCAAAATAAAGTTAGTGAAGAATAATACATCGCTTTTTCATTAAACTGTAATTTCACAATCATTAACGATTCCATTCATTTATGTACCTAAATTGAATTATCTTTCATCAACTATTCACTAAGAGATGGCCCACTTTTATCTCTTAACGACAAATACAAATAAAACTGTGAATTGCGCAGGCGCGATTCTGTCAAAAGTCAGACAAACAATTTCTTCCTCTTCTTTTTCCATGATGTGGTTGAAAAATTCAGAAAATTTTAGTCGTATGTTTAAATTAAACTTTGAAATAGTATATTGTGTAACAAGTGTTATAAACGTCCTTTTATTAACGAGTAGTTTAGGCACGAGCGGAGCAGAGCGGAGCGGAGCGAGTGTTTAGTAAACGATTGTCTAGAAGAGTTTATAAACGCGTTACATACTATGATTATTCTACGAACTCCGAAAATTACCTTAACATATCTGCAATTCCTGCTAACCTACAAAATAATTCGGAAGGAATGGGAATTGAGAACATAATACATGCAACTGCATGCAACCAGCGAGACACGTATAAGTGATATTGGTTGTAGATGTGTCCAGTCCATTGCTTACTAACTTTTGTTTTACGTTTATTGTCATTCTCAACGCAGAATAAATAAATTGTTCTCAAAGATGGATGCTTCATTTTTACACTTCTTGGAGATATGCAAATACCAGAACATTCTCTTCGATTTCACTCTCGTCTACTTTTCGCATATATTTTCAATGAAAAATTCTGAAACAAACGAATATTGTTTGAATAATTCTGATACAAAATTTGAAAATAACAGTTGACAGTTAATACAATTGACAGGCCAGACGTGTCTCAAATTACTGAAGCTGTGTTTAATGAACTGCGTTGCCATAGGTGTTTGAGAAATCGTTTTGCCATGGTAACGTGTTTAATATTTTGAATAAATCACAGATCGACAATCCGTGATTAATTGATCATTTAGCGTGGTACATATCCGTATGCTAAATGCCATTTTAGTTATGAGAGTAGAAACACAATATGAATGAATGATTCTTATTTTAATTATGTGATCACTGAACATTATAACACACAAATTTTCATCGGGCTAAGTACGATGAGGACTATGTTTTGATCAAGAAGAAGCGTTTGAAATTTCAAAGGTGTCATAGTCGTTAAATGAAAATAAACATAATGGCAGTTAATGAAAGCAACAGAATAGTGAAAAAGCGGTGTGCATAAATCCACGTTTTGAATATTATTTCGGTGTGAAGTTTTCTTACCGAATACTACTCTAGCTTCAATTAAGAACCAGAATTCTTCATCCACTAAGTGAATGTCATATCAATTTTTGTTTTCAGTTGCAATGTTGTGGCATTGAAGGTCCGAAAGACTGGGACAAAAATAATTATTTCAATTGTTCATCGAGAGATGTCGGCAGCAGAGAAGCGTGTGGTGTTCCTTTTTCTTGTTGTAAAAGAAAACCAAATGTGAGTGGGATATCAAGTCACCATTTCAATTTTATTGCTAGAGGTTATCTTCATGCCCAAATAAGTTCGTTTCAATACACTAAAATATTTTATTTTTGAGATGCTGGTTATTAAAAATTGAAAATGTTGAGATAAAACAGGATTGAATCTCCATGAGGAATGTTCATAGTAGACTTAACAATAGATAAGGATTTCCCTCGGGACTTCCAAAGACTTTCATTGATTCACGAAAACTTAGAGGATTATTTTCGCTTTTAATGACTTACAACTCATTCATAAGTCTTTCAGTGTCTCCAAAGGATTTGTAATGAGTATCAATGATTTGAAAATTTGTTGGTGATGACTTCTAATGGACAATTTCCAAATACTTCTGAATGACACATGAATACTGTATATATCAATACTAAATATACCAATGACTTCCAAAAGTGAATGCGTTCACTGAGTAATTTCGACTCCAAAATCCTAAGGAAATTAATTTTAGTCCTAAGTATTCTTGCTATTATTGTTCCCAAATACTTCCAGCGTGACTTTCAGAGAATTTGATCGACTTTCATTGACTGTCAAGCGATAACAGGTACTTTCAATGAAAACCTTCAAATGCATCGACTTTACGAGACTTTAAGTAACCTCCAAAGACCTGCAGTGACTTTCAGAAATTCTCAGTGACTTCCAAACATTTTGATTGATTTTCAAATAATTCCAAGAACCTCTGAAAACTTCGAAAGATCTCCAGTGACTTTCAGAGATTTCGAGTTACTTTATAAAAAACTTTCATTGACCTTCAATGACTACAATTGACTCCTTAAGACTTTTGAAAACCTTCAATCTATTTGAATATTTCTACTGACTTCCAAAGTCTCCAGAGCCAAATACTTGTAGAATGGCTTTCATTAACTCCTATTGACATTCTTTAACTCATTGACTATTAAGACTCTCAATGATATCCGATATATTTTTCGTTATTTGGGATTGTTTTTTTTTTGCAGGAGATAATAAAAAATAAGCAATGTGGATATGACGTCAGAAAACCTGGATTTGTAAGTACTTGTTTATCAATGTCAGTAGAGAACCTTCATCCTAATATCAACTAAATTGTTTATTAAGAGTTGCCCTCTTCTGACTTGTGCGATATTTAGTTTAAATTGGGAGTTGAACTATACTGGGTTTTTCATAATATGTGGGAGAGGTCTCAATAAAATAAAATGGTTCCCATAAACAAGAGTCGTAGAAGGCTTCATTTGTGAGATACAGGGTGTTGAAGTTGAAAATATTTATGGATTGTTTTCATGTCCGCCCTGTATGGCTTATCATGCAAAATTTAGTCTGTTATGTGACTGGCATAGGGCCGCAATTACAAAATGATATCTATCATGGTTATAGAGTAATCTGAACAGATGTCTTGAATGGACTATCCGACATCCTCATGTACATCAAATTTTTGAGTTGAATTTGGTTTTTCGGTTTTGCATCTTCACGAGTTTCAACACTTGGTGACTTTTTCTACAAAATTGCATCCTCTTTCATATGTCCGAATAAAATTTCGTAAATAAGTTTCATCGCCACCCATGTTTTTTTTTCTAAAAAACGCTGCCACTGGTAATCAGCTTAACTAAATAATTTTATTCATTGGATCACTGAGATATGCACCAGAATATCAAGAATTTTTGTTTAGCACTCATCTAGAAATTCGATGACACTATTTTTTAATTTTCAACTCTAACACCCCGTATATCATAAACGAAGCCCTCTACGACTTTTGTTTATGGAAACTTTTTTATTTCTTGAGACGCCCTATCACCTCTCGAAGTGCGTCCCACATATTACGAAACGCCCTGTATAAAATGCCTGGATAGAAATGAGATGATTCAACCCAAATCACTTCTAATCAAAATTGTCAGGTGAAGTTCTATAAAAAAATTGCACATTGAAAGAGTAAGCTATGATAGTTTTTTTTTTCATTTTCTTTGTGGCATATTCTGTAATTTCAAGTCAAGTTTTGTGGTGGTTTAGGTCTATATTAGTGACTTGTAAAAGTACACTAAACGGTAAAAACAACCGGTTAGAAAAAAATCAGTCCAATTGATTGCCTTGTATTTTTTAAATTCTTTTTCGATTTTGCTGAAATTTTGACAATGATGCGTTTTTAGCACTGCATTAAATTCGGACTGAATTCGTTTAGTTCGAACCCATCTAGAGCGGTTGCATGTAGATAATGCGAATTATTCTGGTACTGTACGAATGTAGTTCAATATTGACATAATGATGGAAATAAGTAGATTGTGTGCGTACTCGACCATTTTTCCGTGTTGAAAACTTAAGAAAAATCACTCGACCGCCTACTATGATTTCTCTACGTCACATCGAGCGAGACGTTGATTCTACATTTTCCGCTAGATGGTGATGCTGGTGTTGCTGCTGTGACGAGTGGAAATAAAATGGCATATGTCATTTTAGGTACGCGGAACATATATTAGGGTAGGATTATTTAACTCTGAATCCGAAAAATCTGCGGCAATTTAAAAATTGACAGATGTCATAACTACAGAGACTGCATTTTAACACAGTGACGACAATGGCATGTCATATTTTCTATTGGTCGATAGAAATCCGCCATGTTCAGGCAAAATCCGCGGCAAATTTGAATGACTTGAACTTTGTGTTGATAATAGTAGTGTTTTTCTGTGGTTTTCCTGTTTTTTCTCATGCAGAATTATTTTCCATTCTATCAAATATTTCTACAGAACATAATATTGGCAAATCTAAATGATTTGAGGATTTGAACTTTGTGTCAGAAATATGTCAGTGTTTTACTGTGGTTTTGTTGTTTTCCTCATGCAGTATCATTTTCTATTCGATCAAGTTCAAATATTTCTGCAGAACATAATATTGGTAAGTTAGGAAATATTTTTATCAATCATGGTTTAACCTCATTTATTTATTTTTTCAGATTTTCTACCTCCATTTTTCTAAGTTGCATAGGTATTTATTTTAATGAGACTGGAAAATGTATTACTTACAGTATGCAGATTTGCAATGACTTTATTGAATTGGACAGATTGGGTGATCCAATAAGTTATGTGAAAGCTCCTAGAAGCCTCTTATGAAGACTGTATGCAGGATGGATTCCTGATGATAAAATATGATATGTTGTCCATAGCTCCAGCTACGCCATGTGATTGAGAAGCTATAGAATACCAAACATATAAAGAAATAATTAAGCAGTGACTTGAAAAAGCATGAAATTAGTATGTGCTTAGAAAATGTAGAATTATCATCAGTGTATGTGTATCAAGTGAAGTTCATGGAACACAATGTAGAATATTGGTGGATGATGACAATGTGATGAAAATAGTAAAAAACTACTCATTAATACAAAAAGACATTGATTTGCACAAAGTGGATGCATATTGTCAGTCAGAATGACTAGTAGGATGTTTTGTTTTTATAAAAATGTCAGTGATTTCACTATGCTGTATTTTGACTATGATTTTGACAATATTAATTTTTAATAACACATAATTTTTATGGAAAAAGTTCATTTTATTTCTCACATATCTCACTAATATACTGCCCTGATGATTAGTATAGGTATATTTTTTTTATGTAATTTCACCATTATTATAGTTATCAATTTACTGATATTTGATTAGTTCTCCTGAACATAACAAATTAGGTATGATTTAACAAAATGATCATTATAGAATACAAAGTTAAACTGGAAACTACAAAATTTCACAAATCTCTTTCCCTAGTGGATAACAGGTACCTACCAACTAGAAAGTGGATTCAAAATGATATTTTCACACAATATAATATCTCATCTGATATGTCCTAGAGAGTACATAAAATGTTGATTGATTTCAAGCAAGTAAACATCTAGTCCATTCACATTTTCCATTTCCTTAAACAAATCTTATGGACACACAACACCTAGGTACACATTTAGTAAGTCTGGCAAGATGTATAGTCAATTCATAGAATCAAAATGGTCGGTTCTTGGATTACCAATTATTGTCCTTGGAAGTACCTATGAGGTCTGTTTTCATTTCTGTGGGTTACCATTGGTTTACTTGAGAGAGGAATTATATTCCAGATTGCCATGTCACCTTCTCTGATTTTCCAATCAATACACCATTTTTGTCAGATATGTTGTCTTCACTGTGTTTTTTTCATCCAAAAAATCCTGTATGCAGAATTCTATTTCATTGTAGTTTGGAAGTAGACAAAGTATAGGTATATTTTCACCTTAGAAGCTTTACATATTTTCTTTTTCCTTCAAGTTGGAATCATCACTCCTGGAAAAAGTAAGTACTTATTGGAAGTAGTCATTCCTGAAAACATGTATATGTTTGATTCTCCCAGAGATCTAATTAGACTGTTTTCAATAACTCAAACTTTTGCCTACTGATAGAAAACTTGTGATTCCTTTGAGTTTAGCAAAGTCGGTGTACCTATCTGTGGGTTTGAGTACCAGCTTCCGAGTCTTTACTGGCTCCTTTTCAATTCTTCTTCTGAAACTAAGTCATCTACATGACCTAACCTGGTCTATATTCATCACATTGTTTGAATAAAGTAAAATATAATTATTTAATTCTGAATAACAACAAAATGCTTTTCAAAATATCCAAAACAAAAAACATAACCAACTAATTTGACATAGACAGAGCATTTGACATTAGCCTAAACATGGCGGATGCCAGCCCGTTGTCGTCACTGTGTTAAATGCAGTCACTGTAGTCATAACTATGCAATGTCGCCATCTATCCGAAAACCGTTGAAAACATTGTTCTCGGGACTCTCGAGGGGTCGGGAAAAATTTCTGAAACAAAAGCGCATCAGTAAGTACACTATACTTATCTCCATCATTATCGACATTTTGAAATTATGTGAGAATAATTATTTGGGGACGGATAATGTCATTTTGTGAATAATCAAAGGTTTCGGTGGTGTATAATAGGTATAATGCAATTCTGTCATTTACTACAAATACCTGGTATTACTACGCGCGGCTCGCTAGAGGTGAGCGTATTTTATTTTTACATATACAAGTTTGCCAGAAATGCAATCGTCGTTAGAACAACGTATGTGACAAATATTCAAATTATTTCTTGAATTTCGAAGTATGGAAAGAATCATTATGAATAATCCAAAAGTTACAATCCTAGCCGTTTTTGTGCAATTCTCTGTATATGATATTTTTTCTGTGACGGGAAAAAAGTTTGGCATTTCATCTGTGTTGGCAGGTTATAAAATGTCACTTTTTATAAATTACTTTTTTCCCGTGGGGAAAAAGTGAGTACTTTTTCCCGGGTATATATCACATTTATATACACTGTTGATGGCTTTTGTTGTGCTATAGTTCCGAAAAATGAGTCAATAATACCGTCTCCGAGAAAGAACTGCAAGTCCTTTTTTTCTTCCATTCGACTTCGCGGTTACGTATATCACTAAACAACCACTAAATTCGCAAGTTTTTGAATTAAAATCACAGCATTAGACTGACAGAAGTGACATCAAATATTTGATTACTTCAAAAGAATGATAAAGATGCCTACATCGCAGGTGTCCATACTGTTAAAAACTGAAAATTTCATGTCGATTATTTTCTGATTTCAAAATAATTTAATATCTTCTCAATATTGATTCGTCCTTCTTCTGTCACAAAAAAAATAGTGTTATATTCACGGGAAAAATATTAGATTTTAGCTCACGGTTTTTTGTCTTTCTCCGCTTCGCGTCGGGAGACAACACAACCTGGAGGTAAAATCTACTTTTTTCTCTTGTATAATAAATAACTAATAATAATAATTCAGATTATATTTGAACGAGCAATGCCATTTGCCCTGTATACCAACCTATCCAGCATTGTTCAGCATATCAACTACTAAAATTTTCATACACATATCAAGTTCAGACTAGGAGTTCAGTCAAACAAACTAAAAGGAAATTCGACTTGGTTGTTTGAAAATGAAGGCTGTATCAATTTCCCAGTTGAAATTGTGAATAATTACGAAACTGAGTGAACATTTGAGTGACA